CTCCCAGGAACTCATTGTGATTTTATTTTCTTTCTTATTATTGGTTTTGTAAATGCGCTTGAATGCTCTTTTAGCCAGGCACAGGCGTGTTCGCAGTGTGTTTACAAAGAGTAGAATGAAAAAAAACAGCAGGAAAGTACAGCAGAACACAGCACTGAGCTTTTGTGTGTGAGTATTGCGAAGTATGGAATTGCGGTAAACTTTTTTTCTTTATATGTAATAGAGACTCTATGTCTGTGGTGCTCGTGTAATTTGTGTCTCACGCAGAAGAATATTTTTTGGTAAATATAGAATGATGTGAGGAGGTTATTTGTAAATATTGTTTTCCTTGTAGTCAAATATTTGTCTAGAAAAATCTTTGTTTGGATGTAGGTGATAAGAAAAAAATTTTTTTGTGGTATATCGTGTGTATCGTTTGGTGCCTATTCTGTGTGAGTGATTTTGTTGTTTATCTATCCCTAATTTCTCGTAGTTTTAAGAGATACTCATTATGTATGCTTTGTTACCTCTTTCATTCTCACGTAGGAAGTCAGAAGATATACAGAACATTGGGTTAATAGAATATTTTCCCTTTTTTTAACGTATTTATACAGCGTATTACCGAGCAGATGATACGTAGTAGGTATAATACGGTGGGTAATATAACCACCATCAAACAGTTACACGTTAGTGAGATGAATAGAAATAAGAATTACAATAGTCGCGAACACCTTATAATATTATATAATGCAATAAAGATATTATTTTGTATTAGTTTTGCTTGAAACTTTAATTATTTTTTCCTGTATTAGGCCAAAAAGAAAGAGAAACAATGTTATGTCTTTGTTCCCCTTAAAAGTTTATCAGCCTGTGAAAACGACATCGCGGACGTGTTGATTACCTTGAACACGTAGACATATTAGGGGTTTTACACAAGATATTTACCTGGTGACAGTTAGACCAAGAATATCTCTCACCGAATAGTAATGTTTTTACTTCAAATTTGGGGAAGCTTCTGTATTATCGTAATGAATAAGTACAGAACTCCCCTATCAAAAAAAAAGTGGAGAGAGGGAAAGTGCGTGCGTCCGTGCGTATTAGCTCCTGCTGTTGGTGGTTGTAATGCCATTCTTTGCGATTTTCTGTTATCTTTCCCCCGGTGTAGACGAGCGGCTTGCGGAGATGCACATTGGTCCGCTCGCTATTACAAGGGATGCCGGCCATCGTGTTGGGTGGTTGTGTACGGGAGGGGAGGGGGAGGAGGTGGGTTGGTGCGCAGGCAGCGTCAGCGCTACTATCTAACGATTGTTCCAATGGCTCGTCAAGGTGTTCACTCAGTTTTCCCGAGTTACATAAAAAGATACTTCTCATCACGTGCTGCTGTTTGCGCTCTGTCATCTAGGATCATGTTGTTGAACCGCGTGAGGGATGGATGCGACCCTCCGCAGCCTGCCACGTTCCTGCGTACTGTGTTGGTGGTAGTGGAGTTAGTGGGGGGAGAGGACGAGGCGCATGGCCTGCCCTTCGTTGCATCATCAGTGCCGTAAAATATAATGCATCAGTGTTCAGACTCGTCTTCCAATAATATAACATAGCAAGTTCATCACAAATGCCAGCAGTGTGTGTACATGTGGGTATGTGTACGTCAGTCTCTCGCACGTCACCCGACCGCAGAACAACACGTTCATGCTCGTGCGGCTTGAAATGAGTGCTGCCGATCTTAGTTTTGTTTTGACCCTTATTTCTACTAAACTACTTTTGTCTTATCATTTTGGGTGCCTGTTTTTTTTGTTTATAATCATTGATAAAGAGGTAAAATTGACAGATTTTTTTTTTTTTCTTGGCTTTAAAAGATGATGTCATTGCAGAAAAAAGAAAAAAAACAAGGTGAAGATTGGTATGAAAAAGTATGAAAAAAAAAGAATTAAGTTTAATCTAACCACTGGGTAGCCCTCCGACTAAGTGTATCAGTGTGGTGAATCGATATAAAATAATAATAATAATAATAATAATAATAATAATAAAAACAGATAGAAATAGAATTCCCCTTTGCTAAATTTTTTTTCATTATAAGCTATTTTTATATAAAATGAAAAACCTGATATTGAAGAAGTTTTCGTTCTACATTTTTTTCTTCTGTAATTCTTGTATTTTTTTCCCCCTTTTTTCCCCCTTTCCCGTGGAATACTCAGTGTTTTGATATGTACGCAATGAGATCAAGCACCTTATGGGAGTAGCCTGTTTCGTTATCGTACCATGCAATTAATTTTACGAAATGATCGTTGAGTGAAATGCCCGCTTTCGCATCAAACACAGAGGTGAGAGGTACACCATTTATATCGGTAGAAACAATCTCATCTTCTGTGTAACCCATAATACCCTTTAGTTCTCCTTCTGAGGCCTTTTTAATAGCCTGAGAAATCTGTGCGTATGTGGCGGGTTTCTCCAGACGCACGGTTAAATCCACCACAGAGACATTTGGTGTTGGGACGCGGAATGCCATTCCCGTTAATTTCCCATTAAGAGCGGGAATAACTTTTCCCACCGCCTTTGCAGCTCCAGTGGAGGAGGGAATAATATTCTGCGCCGCCCCACGACCACCACGCCAGTCTTTATGGGAAGGACCATCCACAGTTTTCTGTGTAGCGGTGGTGGCATGTACAGTCGTCATGAGTCCCTCAACAATACCAAAGTTATCATGAATAACTTTTGCAAGTGGTGCGAGGCAGTTGGTTGTACAGGAGGCATTCGAAACAATCTTCTGTCCCTTGTAAGTTGTGTTATTTACACCCATTACAAACATTGGCGTATCATCTTTTGGTGGTCCCGTCATAACGACCTTCTTTGCACCAGCTTGAAGGTGTTTGTTGGTGAGTTCTTCCGTGAGAAAGAGACCTGTGGATTCCACAACAATCTCCGCACCAATTTCAGCCCATTTAAGATTTGCAGGATCTCGCTCACTCGTTACGCGAATCTTCTTTCCATTCACGATAAGAGCCCCATTTTCCACCGCCACTGTTCCTTCAAAACGACCGTGAGTAGAGTCATATCGGAGCATGTACGACATATACTCCGCATCGAGAAGGTCATTGATGCCAACAACTTCAATATCTTTCCGTTGTTGGGCAGCACGGAATACCATACGGCCAATACGGCCAAACCCATTGATGCCAATTTTAATGGTCATGTTCTGAGCAAAATAAATAAATAAATAATAAAGAACAATAAAACAATAAAAGAGCTGTAGGTATTGATTTATAATAGTATTAGATTGCTATATTCCTTTTATTTTGATCTTTGTGATAATATAAGGAAAAAAAATATTAAAGAAAAGAAGAAAAACACACCCATGCACATGTATAGTTTCTCCATTTATATCCCACATTTTTCTTTTTTCACAAGCACACACACACACACACAAACTTTTGTATATATACCCCTTTTCTCTCTTTTTCTCTTGCAATTTTTCTCTCACTCAACCTCTCTGGTTGTTGTCTTTTTCTTTACGTTTTTCTTCTCATTTTTTTTTTTTTTTTTGCTTCTTACATTTCTTTTTTTTTTTCCTCTGAGTTTACCCCCACCTCCCACTTCTTCCACCCTTTCTTAAAAATTTGAGTTTTGCAAGCGAATTAACTTTTTTTTTTCTTTTTTGGCACATAACCCTCTCTTTCTCTTTCTCTATCTCTCGCTCTGTTCCATTTCCAATATATATATATATATTTCTTTTTAATTTTTCTTTTAATTTTTCTTGTGACGCGTGCAGAATTCACGAAGGCGTCGTGTAACTTCCTCAACGATATGCTTTGGTCGCGAAATCACAACACGGAAGTATCCGGGCATATGAAAGAAGATACCAGGAATAACTTGCACATTCTCCTCATCCTCTAACATTTCATAGAATGCAATATCATCTTTTACATCACTGAAAGCATTAAGATCGATTTTTACCATAATAAACATTCCTCCCCGTGGGGATGCACATGATAAACCATGACATTGCGGTATCGCATTTGAAAATAGAGTTGCGTTATTGCATATTTCTTCAATATTTCGTTTAAAGTATGATTCTGGTGTATTGGCAAGAATCTCTGAGACTACACCTTGTACCACGGAGTTTGGACCAAGTGAGATTGTGCTAAGATTGCGCATCCCTTGCAATACCTCCTTTGCATAGTTATCAGGGTCCATAAGAATAATCCAACCAAATCGCCAACCAGGGATCATGAAGGTTTTAGATAAACCACCAAGAATAAAACGTGGAATAGATGTTTGAAATTCTGCCACAGAAATAAAAGAATCTCCAGGAAATACAAGACCAGCATATATCTCATCTGCAATAAGTGGAAGTTGTAACTCTTCACATAGTTGAATAATATCTTTTATATGTTCACGACCAAAATTACTTCCACATGGATTAGATGGATTTGTTATCAGTATGGCTTTGGTTTTGTCATCTACTAAGCTTCGCACGTGATTAAAGTCAATTTCCCAGTCTTTTTCCACATTACATAAATAATGACGTCCCTCAAACTTATAGAGATCACAGATAAAATCATATAATGGAAATCCTGGCATAGGGAGTAGTATATTATCCCCCTCATCACAGAGTGATGTGATGATAGTGAGAAGTGCTTCTGAAACTCCACAGGTGAGAACCACGTTTTCCGCTTTGCAGAGTGATGCCTGTTCACCAGCGAAATTCTTTCCCCAGAACTGTGCAACGGCCTCTCGAGCCTCTGGTCGTCCAAAGGATTGTTGATATCCATTATATTTATTACTTTCCACACCACGAACAAATGCCTCAGTGGCAGTTGTTGGGGCCACAAGATTACCATCATATGTTGGATCTCCAATAGAGAGTTTGAGTTGTGTCTTCTCAGGAGGTGCACGGGAGACGCGGTAGGATACAGACTCAATCCTGTTAACTGCCCGCTGAGTCATCAGCGATGGCTCCAATACTGTCCATGCTGTCATGATAAGAGATATATATTTTTTTGTTTTTTTCTATTCCCTCCCCCTTTATAGTTTTTTCTTTTCTTTTCTTTTCTTTTCTTCTTTGGTTTGAAATATTGAGTGGCTATGAGAAGGAGAGACCTACACTCAAATACTCTCACTCACTCACTTAGTCATAAAGAAACAAAAGTGAAAAACAAAAAAAAAAAAATTATGAAGACATATGTTAGTAACATCTTCCAAATGAAATTATTCTTGGCTTCTGATTAAAAAAAAAAAAAAAAAAAAATTTTTTTTTTTTTTTTTTTTGTTTCTCTTTTCAAATGGGTACAAAAATATATGACTCTTACTCTCTTATCAACGCAACTCTCATGAAGTGGCCAAAGGTTTTCTAGAAGTAAAAAAAGATTGTATCCACAAATACCACCGTACAGGTAGGATACGAAGTAATGGGAAAAATAGCAAGGAGTTAGGTATATACACACGTTCCACTCCATAACAAACAGCCCAAACGCAATACTCAGCGACTTCTTCAGGTGTAACTTGACGAGGCATAAAAGAAAACATACGCAATGGATTAAATATAGATGTTCTATTCAAACGATCTTCAGTAGGAGGTTTAGGAGAACTTGTAGCTTTCGTCGTAGTTCCTTTCATAGATGAAGATAATGATAATGTTGATGGTGATGATGATGATGAGGAGGATATAGTTTCAGAGGATGAGGAAATTCCATATGGACAAATAAGTGTACTGTGTACTTTACCACGTTTTCCTTTCTTTCCAGCTATCATCATTTGAATACTTTCATGTACACCAATAGCTGCCCATTGTGAAGCGGCGTAGTCTGGATGTTCTCCATCGCCTATTAATCCTTTCATATCTGTAATAGTAACGAAATGACCATCCTGCTGTCGAAGCATACTTGGTAAACATACTCTCGCCAAAACAAGAGAACACATCACGTTGGTAAAAAGAATTCTTTCCGTGGATTCGTCTGGACGATCAAAAAAGTGTTTTGTACCTGAAAGATTAGCGGCATTTACAACAATATGAACTGGACCTAACAGTTTTGCCGCCCGCTGTACATGAATGCGATTAGAAAAATCCACAACACTTGTGACAAGATTTGAATGAGAAGGAGTATGAGTTCCTTCCTGAGTTGAACTTGTCTCATCACTTATATCTCGTTCTTCTCCTTCACCATCACTTCGATATGATTTAATAAGATTCGCCTCTTGTGAAAGTTTCTCTAATTTATCAAGGCTATAGTCCCATACAACAACTTTAGCATTAAGTTTAAGAAAGCGCAGGGCGATACATCTCCCAATACCGGTAGAACCACCAGTGATCAGTACTGTTTTTCCTGCAACTGAGGTGCGACGGTAGATAAAAAAACTATATATAGACCATAAAACCCATGCTGTGATACTTACAAAGATAAGGAAAATCATAACTCCTACCTTCCCTTTTCCCATTTGAGTAGTTTAAACAGAACATTAAAGAAGAAAATAAAGAAAGAAAGAAAGAAAGAAACAGGGAAAGAGCAATATGTAGAGCATCCACCATTCAGGAAGAACTTCTTCTCACGTAATATAGGTTTTATTGTTTTCCCTCCACTGCCTAGGCAATACGAGCACTCACTTTCACACATATACAAAAAAAAAAAAACAAGAGAGGAAATAAGCGAAAAAAAAAAAAAATTCTTAATTCCTCACATTTTCACTTTCCAACGAATTACTCTGTACTGTCATTAACCGAATACACTCACGTGAGGTCGAATCCGCCGCACGAATGGGTTCAGGCACTCGGTGCTTACACATGGAAAGCACTAATGCGGTTGCCTCAGCATAACCAATACGATGTCCTGGTGAAACAAAAATAGGTTTCTTAACGTGACTATTAGGTGTAATAGCATAACCCCACAAAAGACCACTTTGTCCAATAATAGGTTTCACTACTGGCGATATCTCACTATGATTTTCTTTATTTTCTGCGGTTGTAAAGAGTTCATTCATTCTTTCTCGTGTTATACCATCTACAGACATGAAGTTCTTTGCGCAGCCTATAGTTGGAATGTCAAGCTTAACACCCAAGTGACTGGCAAGTCCACAACGAAATGGATGATGAACTCCACAACCATCCACAAGTAACAACTGTGGAAAACATCCTTCTTTCATCAAAGTTCCTCGTGCATTTCCTATCAACTCTATAATAGGCCCAACTTCCCGAAATGCTAGAAATCCTGGAATATAGGGTTCCGTTACTTCGCAATGGTGCAGGAAAACACGAAGCCTCTGCATAGAAGGATACTCCAAAATAACAAGAGAGGCCACAGCAAGACTACTTCCCTTCACAAACGAGACATCCACCCCACCAACGTACCGAAGAACTGGTAAAATAGAGAAACAGGGAGATAAACTCGAGCAACGACTGAAACCCCGATATAGCTGAGGTCCAAGGACCGTAGAAGAATATTCCTTTAAAAGATTATGTGGAAACATAAAGGTAACGAACGAATTATATTTTTTTTCATCATCATCTTCTTCTTCATTTGAATACAATTCAACCGTTCCCTCAGTTCGTGGAACACAAACACGTTCTGCGAGTTCCTGTTGAATAACAGTCCACGCTCCCCTTTTCTTAGTATCACACACTGCATTACACATACTAGTAAATGGTGAAACACACAAAGAGTCAGAGATTGAATTAATTTCGCAACTCCCGCAATACAAGGGGTTACGTTATTAAAACACCCCAATTCTAAACCCTTTTCACGTAAAACAAAACAAAAAAAAACCAGAAAAAAAAAGAAGAATACACACACACACTTGCACACAAAAAGAAAAATGCATCATTGATTATATATTCCTTCCATTATCATACAAATATATAAATCCCTCAATACGAACAGTAAGACTTGTATGACACCCTACCTCATAAAAAAAAAAAAATTACCAATAAGGGAAACAAAAAAAAAAAAAAAAAAAAATTGAGGAAAAACTATAAAAATCAAACTTGCCAAGCAAAAAAAACACCAAAAATGGGTATCTCTACTTTATTCTCAGTAGACCTTTTGAGATATACATATATTAATACCTGATACAGTAGACACGGGATTTGTTTCAAAAACAATAACAGTAGCTTTATCTATAGCTGTGGTAGACGGCGTGCTCAATCGTTTTTCTTTACTTATTTATACGCCGGTACACATTGCACATAGTGCACCCACATTTAAAAAAATACGTTTTGTATGTGGAGAGAAAAAACAATGTACGAAAAGAAAACAGAAATACCAATGCGTATACCATACATGTGCCCTTCCTATTGAAAAGACAACCACATAGGCATAACAATACAAAAAAAAAACCGCTTAATATCGAACAAAAAGACATTTTCACCCTGTTTTTGTTCCGCTTTACCACTATCGTGCGCATCTTTCCATGAAGTCTCATTATTTTACTATTCCCCTCTTTTCCAGATATACATTTTGCATCATATACACGACTGTATATATCGTCCCCATCATTACAGTTTTGACTTCTGCTTCCTGCTTTCAAAGAGCGTCATACCGCACTGACAGCAACCAAGAAGATTGAGGTTCAACCTCTTCTTCTGGCGGAGGTACGTCACTCGGCCCTGGAAGCCAAAGCGCTCCATCGGGTGATT